GGGGGGGGGGGGGGGGCATAGTCGGAGGGAAGCTCAGAATGAGGGTGTGGAGATTTAAACCATCGGCTCTGTCGCTCATCGTGGGTTATGTGAGGTCTTTGGGAAATGAAATGGACAAACAGATAACGACTCTGAGGGAGCAGATATCGTATTGTTTCACGGAGACACTGACGCATCCATCATCGACTTCAGGATATTTCAGGGTTGGGGACATTACACTAAGCACTAGGATAAAAAGGTATAGGGATGGCAGTGTTTGTGAATAACATCATGTCAGTTATTCATGAAGCGGATTGCAAGGTGAAAATAAATCTCTATCTGTGTCTGGTGGTTTTGTTGGACGAGCTTCTGTAGAGGCCTCAAGAGGAACGGAGTTGGAAAAGGTTGTGACGGATCCTTCTCCTTTTCTCTGCACACTTCCTGGTTCTTGTGGAGTACAAGTCCTGGAGGGAGGTCAGGCAAGTCCCAATTATCTTTTCTGCTGACTTTACTTTTCGTTGCAGTCTGTTCCTGTCCTGGTTTTTTTATTTTTTATTATTATTCTCCCTCTTCTTCTGCTGCTGCTTTGCTGATGTGTGTTTACGTTTCCCTGTCGGTTGACGAGGCAGCAGCGTGAGGCGTAAAACTACAGTCTCAACCCCCTGAGGCTTTGTGACAGTCACTGGGGATTGCATTAACCTTCATCACCTAAGATACATGTTCAAATCAGGTATAAGCAGGGAGCTGTGAGCCTGAGGGAAAACAAGGACTCCTTGTGACACGTGGAAGAGCATGAAGCAGATTACAGGCTTCAGCATCAGAGGTTGTCAGCAGGGTGGCAGCACAGACACCGACAACAAGCTGAATATGATTTTTTCAGTAGGTTAGGATTGGAATCCCAGCTGTGCCTCAGAGACACCAAAACATACCCCGTCCTGAGCCCCTCTGATCACAACCCCTCAGATCTAACCACGCTCCCCTGAATAACTGTGGTGACACGCTACTGATGAGTGGAGTCCCTGGAATCAGTTCATTTACAAATCTTATATACATCTTTGTTAAAGGTGAAGCTAAGTGATTGACTGGAGCTCAGACTGGACGGATCCACTCATCGAACTGTGCGTGACTGAAATGTTTATATCCCTCATGATCTGCAGCTTCTGGAAGTCACTGACCTGAGCTGCTTTCAGACACACACTGAAGTTTCCTTATATTTTCTGGAGGGGCTGTGAGAACGCACAAGTCAGTAGCTGAACATGTCAAACTTGAAAAGAGAAGGATATTCCAGAGCTTTTGGTGATATGGCCAGACGCTGCTGTCGAAGTCATGACCTCCAGAAAAATGTTCATTTCTGAAAATAGCTCTGGTTGGTGGATGAGTGTATCTGATGAACTAATCAATAACTCAGTCGTTTGCAAAGGAACTGAAAAGTGACCTGAATGAGTTCAGTTCGATCACTAAAAAAAGTTTGGAGACGCTGATCACATCTCAGGGTCATGAAGTCCAGGTGACCTGCTGAACTATCCGGTATCCTGCCAGATAGCTTTGACCTAAGTTTGAAGCAGGAGGGGATAACCCATGCTGTGTTCTGTTGGTACCGGTACCAGTCTACACTGATGTGGGGGTGGATAGTGCTGTCACACACTGCTTTTATACGTCCACCTGTCCATCGTTAGACTAAATGAGCATGAAACAGGGGAAAGTGGAAAACAGATTCATTCATGTGAAACCACAACACCTGTCTTCTATGTATTAATGTGCTCTAACAAATAACCATGAATCTGGGTAGCTTTGATCAAAAGTGGCCTCAGGGAATTTTTGAAATCCCACAGCATTATCGTCAATAGCTTTTTCTCTGTGTGAGCCTGCCAACACTCTGACAGATGATGGAGGGTATTAAGAACAGCGAGATGCATTTAAGGCTCAACTATTATGACGGCTGTCACACAGTGAGACGAGCTCTTACGCTGACTTTGAAATTATCGATCAAACCATCTGAGCAAGAAGAATGTGAGCATTCCTGGACTCACAACCACAACGTTTGGTGTAAAATAGGATCTGGAGTGTGTTTTCAGCGGAGCGGAGATCAGACGAAAGCAGTTGTGCACATTTGGTTTCCACATGTAAAAAGAGGCCAAGTTCCCAGACTCTTACTCTGAAATCCACCCCCCCCCCGCCCTTCTTCTCTTCAAAGCAGTAATCATAAGCCCCTTCTTGAACGGCCTGTTCCAGGAGGGAATGTTGCACCTTTATTCAGCACAGCCTTTCAGACGCAAACACAGAATCGGAGGTGGGGCATCGCTGTTCGAACTTTATACTACGGGTGGAGGGAATCAGGGAGTCAGAGCGGACATCGATTGGGACACGGCACAAACACTGATATCTGGTAATTCAGTGTAAACAAACAAAAGTGGAATTACGAGGGGTCTTCACATCGATATGAAGATATTTGGGTATACATCTTATAATGTTAAAGAAAGTTAAATCCTTGATCGGTCCCTTTGTCCATTAGGTTTTGTGTAAATCCATTCAGTAATCTTTGCAGGACCAACCCACCAGCAAACAAAAGGACGACAGAAAACATTATTACCTCCAACTATAAAGGAAACAGGACGTGAGTACAGCCCACACCACGAATATGTTTTAAAAAAAAATAAAAACTCAGTCATACACTTTCTGAGTTTATTATTTAGTTGGTCAGAGGTTTTGTTTTATCCCTCCAATGTCTCCCAGCCCTGCAGCTCCAGCTCTGAGCTGGTGGGTGGCCTCCACTCATATATTAATACTCGTCAGTGTGTATGTTTGCTTTGGAGACAAAGAAACGTTCGGTGTGTATGTGTGTTTTTGTGTTTCCTAATTGGTGTGTATGTGGATGTTTGTGTCTGTGTAGCATGGTTAAAAAATGAAAAGATGTCCAGGCTGTCAGTTTGATGTGTGTGTGTGTGTGGGTGGGTAAGTATGTGTGCTTGATCCAGGGGATTGTGATTCCCTCCTGAGTGAGTTGGTCTGCTGGTGTTTGCCCCGAGGCTGCGGCTCTCTGGCAGGTGGAATGTAAAACACATACCCTGTCTGTGTGTGTGTGTGTGTGTGTGTTAAAAAACTGAGCGAAGAGGTCTACACCTGTAAAAATGAGTTCAAGTTCTCCACCTCTGTGGCTTCTTCCATCAAGACCCGATAACAAACAATGTTATCAACAGCCAGTTTGAATTATTAAGCTGCGACCCAAGCCAGAAGCAGCAGGACTGTGTTCACACCTATTTGTACGTGCACAGAATAACACAAATATGTATGGATGGATTTTCTCACCGAACTTAACGATTCACTTTTGGAGCTGATGTGTCAAAGGTCAACAAAAAATATGGTCCGATCCAAAGCTTCAGAAAATGATTTCTCATGATGTCATACGTTCTGTGACTTCGTGAAGAAGTCAGAAAAAGACATCATGCATTGTACAACTATGTATCTGAGATATATCTGCATCCTACAGGACTGTGAACAAAACCTAAAACTTACATAGATTGAATGTGCGTCTCATTTACACAAACGTTCTGCTCTCTCTGGTTGTTTCCAAGTTTAACTCTCCAAACACGAAATGACGAGATCTCACACAGAAGCAAAGATCATTTATTGTTGAAGTTTTAACGCATGTTTCCCCTGACTGCTTAGTTTAATCTGTAGTATCTGTTGGATTGAGACCATCCGGTGTTTCTGTAGATGTATGGATGAATTCTAAGAAACAGATCAAGATCAGTGCATTGAGGTGTTCTTCATCATTTGTGGTGAAAAAGTAAAGGAAACGTTCCAGTGACTAAAAGAGTTTAGATCAGCGTCAGAATCAAACCGTGATCCCAGAGGTGTGGAAGTAGAGATCAAGCTCTGACCTCTTACTGGACGAGATGTAAGAGAATCCTCCGGAACCCCCTGGATCTTCCTCTGACGTCACTCAAGTGATATTAGAGATCCACTCCGCAACGTTGTCAGTACAAGAACGGTCCCAGGTCGTTTCACGTGATCTGACTTCCTCCTTTTATTTATTTTTATTTTTGAAGACCTGGGCCACAAGTGAGTCCCTGTATAGTCTGCTCCTGTTGTGATGGCTTGATATTTAGAAAAGAAAGAAGTCCTAATGGCTGGAGACATTATGATAATCATAGTCACAGTGAATATTGTTGCCAACAACAGCGTGTGGGAGCTTAAACATGCACGAGGCCTTGTTGCCATGCAACATTAAGTTTAAAATGGTGATGGGAACGAGACATTCCCGTCGCCGATCATCTCATCTGAGCCCGCTGCGAAGATAAATCTTAGGTGTCACAAAATAATTAAAGGGATAAAATATGTATTCCTGTTACATAAAACTTCGGCATGGGGCCGTAAACAATGTCCAAATATTGTCGACTCTTTCTCGCTGCTCTAAAGTCTGTGTGGTTTGTTCTGAAGTGCTAAATAAATAATGAATGTGTGTGGGCTTGTGATTGTCTGAATAAATATGTATGAGTCTGAAGTTGTGTTTGCATGTTTCTGAGAAGCACACTCATGTACTGTTGACCATATGCTAATGTTTGTGCACGTGTGCTTTGTGGTTCTGTCGTTATGAGAAGCACTCGGACTTAAAGAGCCTCAGGGCGAAGACGTTTTGTCCTCGGGCCACAACAGATACGTTTAATGAAATGCAATCAGTGGAAACCCACCAGAAGAGCCCTGAGACATATTTACAAGTATAGAGTCAGTGTGAACGTGACGGCGTGCGATCGCTGCCCCTCCACCCCGGCCAGCGTTGCCGCTGAGTCGGTGGACGGCCTCGGTGGCAGCGAGCCAGCCGCTCGAGTGAGAAAGCAGCTGGAGATGAAAAGGAATGCACAGAAGAAATGCAAAGCACTCAGCGAGAAATCCTCTCAAATGATTTAGACACACGGCATCCAGCCTCTGTGCATCTTAAAAAACCCACACAGGAGCATTTAAAAACAGTCCGGGGTCTTTGATAAGCAGTTTGCTCTGCATTTGAAAAGCTAAATGTGCTTTTAATTCAAACATAAGACCAAAAAGATTACATGTTTTCTCACGTGGGGATTTCCACTGGCTGTGGGAAGCCTTCTGAATCCTTCACACTTTTACAGACTAATGTCTCTGCTCTTTTAAATCCAGACAGCAGCCTGCATGGGTTCACTTTTCAAATAACACTCAGCTCAGAGTTACAGCCACTCTCTGTATATTGATAACAAATGAGGGTTCTGTGAAATATCATTTCACTGCAGAGCACTTTTTTGTTTTTATGAAAATATCAAGAATAAAGAGCCCAGATCCTCATCTCCACTAAAAATCAAAGTTTTTATGAGAAGCACAAACCAAATCGCTAACGACCGTGTGGAGCAGCACGATGTGTTTGTGGATCAGAGGGGACGAGATGTCACGAGGGCCCAACAAACAGTCGACAGCGACTGATGGATGAGTCGTACACATCCTTCTCTGCTTTAGTTCCTCCGCCCATCTGGTCACATGGGGCGAAGCTTTGTGACTGTCATATTAAAAAACTGTGCGTCAGGCTCAAAGTGCAGAGTGAAGAGGCTTCTCAAATATTTCCAACTTCCAGAGCTGCTCACACAAACACCTGAAGAGAATCTATCTTCCTGACAGAATCATTTCCAAACCCCTGAACTGGGCTCCTGGACGCTCCTCTGCAAGCGGAGCTGCGGTGGGAGTTGTGGAGGAGTCACTCAGTGGAGAATATGAACCGTGTGTGTGATGGTTCTTCACTAACTGAGTCATGTTCCCTTCACTGGTTTGATCAAACTTCTATTTGCCTGCCTGTGTGTGTCTTTGAAAGAGGGATTAATGGTGCAGACGTCTGAAAGTGTCCCTCCACGGTTCTGCCGACCACAGACACAGTTTTGGGTTCAAATCCGAGGATTACACCCCTGCAGCAAAGGGCCTGAGTGAACTTGACCTCATGTTTCAATCCTGTGAGGTGACAAACACAAATCCTCTCACCTCTGTTCTCATGTGGTCTGAGCATCATCAGTGGCAGAGACACAAGATTTTAATTTCCAGAACCAACACAGAGTCTTTTTTAATCAAGTTTGGATTAAAATTAATTTTTGAAAAGACCCAATGAACCATGAGGGGAACACTCATTAGGATTAAAACGAAACTGAATCAGCATTTTAAACGGAGCTAAAGAAATTAAATGTTACGGTGAACTGACCTGTAAATGGGATCCTGCATCACCATCATCTTGCTCTCATCCCACGTCCACTCCTTCTTCTGTGGACACAAAATCAAAAACCTTCACTACATTGCACCAGAAGTCATTAAAATTTATATCAGCGATTACGTATTGACGTCCCGTGAATCGTTATTGAGTGAACCGCGTCACAATGGTGTCGCTCTTATTTTAACGTCTCCATATTTGAGACGTTTATTTACATTTTTCCCTTTTGTCCTTTTCCATTCCATTAAATCTATCTTCCAGCTTAATGTCACAATCAAAATGTCGAGACATGAGCAGACAGGAATTATTCATATTGATTTCCATCTGCTCAGAGCGCAGTTGATTCAGTCATTTATTCGCTCCTTTCATTTCCTCGGCCGTAGATGTACAAAGGCTGATGACTGTCACACTTGACATTTCAGATTTCCAGCCAGGGAGACAGACAAGACAAGAGAAAACAGGTGGAGGCCAAATATCACGGCTTCAATACAGGCCTTTAATATTTAACTCATCAGCCAGACATCATAATTCTAATGAATTTCTTCATCAAATCTTCTCTCGCTTGGCTTCTTTTCAGATTTGTAAAGGTCTTAGAAAAATTATCAGCAAAACCTGACGAGTGTGAGAATTAAATTATAACAAAACAGTCGACACCTGAGCTGATGAAAATCACAGACTCAGATTCATCAGATCTGAAAATGTCTCTCGAGGTCTATTTCCTGCGATCAGCCCAGTAACAGTCAGGTGTTGTTTTTGTCCTGCTCTTCACGGTCGACGTCTTCACAAGTCCACCGGAACAAGAGACCCAACCTGGGACCAGTGCAGGTTAGGGTCCACGTTTCCGAGGGTCAGGTCCCATTCAGACGCAGCACATGTGAAGTTAGCGTTACTGTGCTGGATGCATAAAACCAAACTTCAGTTGCGTCCCCACACCGAAGCGTAAACCCAATATATTACAAGTCAGCTGGTATCTGCAATTTCTGATTAGATGGAGGTTATTCCCTCGTTTATGCCGACATAAAAAATTTAAGAGCCAGTTACAAGTTACCTGCTGTTCAAACAGTGAGTTGGTTTTCTTATACCCTCTGAGATTTATCATAGCTTTATAGATATTTTACAAAATTGCCTGGGAACTAATATACTTTATAGACAAAGTAGTATCGGATCAATACACACATTTGTGTACTCTCCGCGTAATCGTAACATCTATAGAAATTAATTTCCAGACAAACAGAGAAACACATGGCAATGAAATTAAACAGTATTGGACAATCTTCTTATGGAGAGGTTTTTCCACATACCATGAAATTATCTTCAGATCGTATGCGATCTTAGAGGTACTCAACATATTCTCTAAATTCTGTCCACACACAAAAAAACGGAACAAAAGAATATCGACCTGCAGTCAAGCTTCCAAGTCCACACACATTTACATAACGGAGCATTTCTCAGTGCTGAATTGAATGGATGCTCCTCAGAGGACCATTTAGAAAACTCAATTAAGCTTCCTTTTCACGAGACACTAATGCGTATCTGCTTTACACACGTGGCTGTAAGAACACGTCAAGGTCAAACAGCAGCTGCCGTCATTCCTGACTTTAGTGAAGCCGAACAATCCAAAAATCTACGTTTCTCACTTTAAACAAATGGTTTTTTAAAAATATTTTCTGTATCCAAACTCTGCATTTTGTGCGAAGATGTCATGAGAAGTCAATTCTGATGAAACAAGCAGAGAAATTTGCCTTTTGAGTGAACGGTAAACACTCAGCCGAGGCAGTCTGCTCACAATGACCTTTTCAGTTGTCAGATTTGTTAAGCTCCCACGTCTGTCTGTCTCTCTCCGAACATGCAGACTGATAAATTCAACGCGAGTCTGGGAATTATCTGAGTTTAAACAGAAGATGATTGTTGACGGTGTTAAAACACATATCAAACCCATGAAAAGGCCTCAAGTCAGGATTAATGAAACAAGATGAAAAGAGTAAAATGTTGGGAGAGACAACGGACAGCTCTGCTAAGTGAACTTCACTCTGTTTGCATCCAGTGGGTTTTCCACCCTGTCAGACTCCGTGATTGTCGGCAGGTTAAGTCCACCTCGCTCCGTCTCTGTGGATTACAACTGTCAGCCTCGCCGCACCTGGAAACGCGTCTCAGCGCCCTACCCGTCAACTTCTTCTGGTTTTCTCTTCACTCTCTTTTCATCTTTGAACTCTCTTCTCTCGTTTCATCTTTTTCTCTTTACTTTACAAAACCTGTCACGCTTTTTTTCCCCCACATCTTCCCTCAGACTTTTGAGCAGTCTCAGGCTTCTGTCCTTTCTTACAATCGCTGCTTTCTCTGTCTGAGGTTTAATTAAAAGAGGGATCGTCCCTCGCAGAGAGCAGCCTCTTAATTGAGACACGGGAAAAATCTAATCAGCAAAAAACAAACATTTTACAGTCTGTGGATATCCAAACTGAGGGAATCCAGCTGTTACCTGGACAGTCCCATAACAGTTTGAAGTGTAAGAATTGATTGTTATTAGTTTACGTCCCCATTCGGTTGGAAATCAAGTTTTAAAGATTCAAACAGCCACGGTCAGCAGTGCATAATCTCAACTGAGAAACTTTCACATGATGTTTTAATGAGTAAAAGATTAAATCTCCATCTCCTGCTCTTGTTCTGAGACGACACGTCCAACACAACCAGACAGAAGAAGAGAAACAGACGAGTTCAGACAAGATAATAAAGGTCACTCACTTTTTTCTTTTTCCTCATTGTGACCTTCACGCCGTCTACTGACACCGTGATGTGGACTTTCTTCTTCTTGATGTTTTTCACCTTGAACTCATACTGCAGAGAGAACACACAGACACAGGTGTATTAATATTCGGCTGCATTACAGTGACACTGGTCGGGATGTGTGGATCCAGGACGATGAGTCATGTCTGGAAGCAGGACGGAGATTAAAGAGATGACGGTGAATCCAAGGAAAGTTTTTCTTCATTTACACCTTTTTTTTTTTTTAAACTTTAAAACACATATTATAAGAGTTGTCACATTAGCAGACAACGACTCTGCAACAACCGTCTCCACGTGTAGTTGCAGAGTCAGAACATTCTCCGCTCTATCATTGGTTTAGACGACCAAGGACGATGTCATCTTTTCTCTGTGTTCCCACAAGTGAAACAGAAATGCAGAGTTGCTGCCGCCTGAGATTGAAAACGTGAAAGCGTGGACGACCTTCAACATCACCGATGGATACAAACGGCATAATTGGAAAAATGAAAGAGGAGATTGTAAATGCTGTGTCGTATTAACATTCCTGCACTCGCTTCTTTTGTGTGTGTATTCTATAAATTCACATTTCATTGCCAAATCATTTCGGCACCAATTAGAGTGGAATTCAGTGGAGTGCATATCTCCACTAAGGCCCGACAGTCACCTTGAATTCAATCAAGCCTCATTCACTCATGGATATCAGTCCCTCACATATGTTTTATATTTTTCATCAAGATCCATGAATTAGATCCCCCCCCGAGAGAAACGTCTTCTAGGAAATATGCCGGAAAACCTTCTTTTAAAACTGTTTGGTGAAACGCTGTCGAAGTCGTCAGCTCCAGGCAGAAAACTCAGGTTCTTAGAATATACATCCCACAGTAACACAGAGAAAGTTGAAGCCTGTCAATCATTATTCTCAAGTCTCAAAGTGCGCGAGTGTTTATGTGTCAGTGTTTTACGGGCGTGCTGTAATCTGTCGACCGCGCTGCGCAGGCAGGACTCGAGCGGTGGCGTGTCTGATGGATCGTATGATTGACCTCCGCCGAGATGATTACAGCAGCAATTTAACACATTTCACGCAGGGTTTGACGGGCTAAGTGTATGCAGCGCAAGAAGTCAGAAGGCACTTATCTCTAACGAGCCTGTCTATTCCCGTCTGATACGGCCCCGTCATTGAATCCACATCAGCCGCCTCGCCCGCTAACACTCTACCATCCAAGATACTCCAAGATACTCTGTATCCAAGATACAACGGTGATATGATTCATAATATCACAGCTGCATCTATCAGTGTGATATAAGAATGAATGAATGTGTAATTAAAACACTTGTGGCTCAGAAGCTGCTGCGCTCGAGGTAGCAGACACACACACACACAGACACACAGTGATCCAGGTGAACTTACACCCCTATGACTATGTGCAACAACTATGTGCACTAAAAAGTAAAGGGCCAATAAAAAGCTTTATCAAATAATCACATGTCAACGTGTCAGAGTGCACAGGTTAAACAAATTGTATTTTTTATGGTGAAGCTAAAACGAAACCTGTCTGTCTGTGGACAAACCAGCCTCATTGCCACTGAGAGGGAGCAGGTCAGAGGTCAGAGGTCAGGAGGAAGGACTTTCAGTAATGTATTTTTTCACTGATATTCATTTCCAGTGAAATTATTAAGTTTATTGTGACTTTGTTGTCGCTGCAGATTCTCCAGATCATGTTTTATCAGTAGATATGATGCTTTCGTTCACGCACGCTGAATTTTTCCAGAGGGGCTGTAACGCAAATGTCCGAGTCAGTTGCTCCGGATATTTTCTGGAACTTTACCTTCCATATGAGAAAGAAAAAGAATCCAGATATCTCAGGATACATTCGAGAGCTTCCAGAGATGAGGACCACTGCCGATGAGCTCTTTTACAATCATTTCATATTTGTTCACGACCATGTAGAAAAACTATATGCAATAATCTAGAATAGTGTTTAATGACATTAGAACGTACCAGAGGCACCAAAGCTTCACCTGCTGTAGAGACATGATCTGTTTGTGTCTCCGTCATCCAGGAGCAGCTGGATCCTAATTTATTCATAGTTTAGATTCTTTATGACGTGAGCTTCCAACATTTTTATTCAGGACATTGTGATGTGGAGCTTTTTCTTTAATGACGTATTCAAAGTATCAAACTGGGACCGGCTCCAACATCTGAGAGTTTAAGTGCATCAGCAGCTCTGGAAACTCGCCCTGCTCTTATTTTTCTTATTCATCAGGAGAGACGGTCCAATCAATGTTTGAGGCCTGAAGATTTTGTGCGTCAAAGTAGAATTTCTGTTTGATATTCAAAAAAACACAAATCAATAATCAATTCACTAATTCATCAAGTGAGGACACAAATAACAGGAAGTCCCAGGTAAAACCTTTCCTGGGATTTATTCCTGGCCAAGCACGGGAAACAGGATTTGCTTACGTGCAGATCTTTGTGGTTGGATCACTTTGTGACAGTGGCAGGACTTAAGTGTACAAGTCCAGGAATAGTCTCATCCATCATTAAAATAAGTCAGTCCAACATTCGCAGACACTATTTCCTGATAAACGCGTCATTATTTCCTAAAGGCCCCTTCTTCCTGTTTCCAGTATAATCCATCATTTTGGCAACAAAGACGCCAACACACACACACACAAACACACACACACAATGGTGTCCCCAGCCAGCGCCACTATTTTCCCCTCACAGAAATATCAGTCTGGAGCCAGAAGAGCTCAACAAAGAGGCTGCGTTTCTGTCTGTGACCGCAACGGTTCATTGAGAGGAGGAGAAATAAAACATTCAAATGGACACACACACACATACAGAGCGCCGCTGCGGTCAGCTGGCAGTGATCGTTCAGCGATCTCAGCAGGTCAGCGGACGGTAAACAAAGAGTCTGAAGTGAAACAAGCTTCATTCGGCTCGTTGCTGACGTGATTAGAGTTTCGTTGTCCAACTGCTCGTCCATGTTTTTACACAAGGAAACATTTCTGCTGGTGTTCAGCCCTCATATGTCAGCCAGACCTCCTTAGCCTGCACACACACACACGCACACTTATGCTGCATGTAAATTTGTTCCAGACTTTTTTCAGATATGAAATCCACATAAAGAACGCAGCAGAAGGCAGAGCCAGGACATCGGGGTTACCGTAACCGTAACGTTACAGATTCAAGGTCCAAAAGCTAAAAGCTAAATACATGTGGTTTTCAGTTTTTGTTAGCGACAGAGACAGACACACGTCACGCAACGCTGACTTTTATTCACTTCACTGTCAACACGCCCACTCACTGTGAATTTCCCCGCTGTATTCTCACACTCTGACATTATCCAGAGCTTTTTTTCTGTAGGGAGCTGGAAGGAAAATATCTGGATCAACTGACTCTGACGTGCAGGTCTGAAAGCAGCTACACAACGTCACTACACAACAGACCGAGAAACTGCAGACGCCTGTAAAGAGTAACAGAGTGATGGAGAGAGAGAGAGAGAAGCAGTGACACAGTGAGGATAGGATGTTTAATTAACAGCTCGGATAATTGAGCACATTATTACACAAACTCGAGGTTTCTTAACTGTGCAAACTGTGTTGTCATTAGGTGCCTGATGAACTGAGGGGGAGGGGATTTTATCCTTCGTAAAGCACCTGACCTCACTGCTCGTACTTCTTATAGAATGTTTTTTTTTTTTACCGTGTGTAAAAACCACAATGATATAGATGAAATGTGCCTGAATTCGTGACATCATGTGAATGTGATTCTACGGTCCGACAACCTGATCGTGGTGTGGTTTCTCCGGTTGCCATGGATACACAGTGAGCTGCAGCGACCGGATGAGAAAGTTGAGCCGCGATCGACTCAGACAGCAGAGCTGAAAACAGCCGCTCTGCCCGGACCACCGCCGAACACCTCAGCGCTCGCCGGCTCAGCGGACGCCATGTTTACATAACAAACAGCGGAGCGGAGGACAAACGAGTGCAGCGTTCTACATGTTTGTCCAACAGGTGGTTTGTCTTTGGTCAGTGGGTCTGATGTTCCTCAAACAGGGATTTGTGTGTAGACGCTGACTCTGATGGGTCAAATCAATAAATAGCTTTTTGTTCAAAGTCAGTTGTACAGTTGTTTGTTTCTCTTGCAGGGTTCAAAGTGTAAAAAACACAATCCCCCTTTTTTTAATTCACCGAAAAAAGAATCAGAAATGTAATATCCGGAAAGAAAACGGATTAAATGGAATCACAGGGTGTTTTGTACGACTGAAGTAACAGCCAGTGTTATATATCCTCTCATCTCTGATTAGACCACAGCTCCCATGTCATCTCCCCAGAGATATCGTCTTTCTCGGCTTCTCCAACCACCACATGCGTCTCTATTTACTGCCAAACACAAAGCTTTCATCCCTTCCTCTGATCTATCATCAGCCCCGCTTGGATTCTGTTTTTCTTTTCAACCATCTGTCCTAATCTTGTTCCTTTGCTGCTGGTCATTCTAGTGTATCTGTGTGTGTTCACTTCCTCTCTCTTACCACTCTGTCATTTCTCACTCCACTTCCCACCACCATATTGACATGCACCTTCTGTGACATTTTTTCCGGCTTCATGATAATTATTTTTGCACTCCTGCTCCTCTCTCTGCCTTTTTCTTATAGTTTCTTTTTTTCTGCATCACCCCTGCCTCCACCCCCTCCCCCTATTTTCTCCACAGGCTAGTGGCTGATTCAATCTCAAGCAATGTTGTTTATGAAAAGGCATTTCACTTTCCAGAACCATTTGTGTTCATGATGCTACATGGTCCATCTCATTTCAGCATCCTCAGCTACACGAGACAAGTTAAAGGCAAAATATAGTAAATATATAAAAGTATACAAACAGTCGTCCACAAACCCAATAGTACAAAATGGCCTGAATATTTCATGTAAATTTAAAGTCACATCGCACTGACGTAAAAAAACTGGCACCCTTAAAAAAGGCTACTGGATGTGGGTTTATGATGTGACTCTGATAAAGTAAGTCTGATAGAGTAAAATACTTCCAATAATTAAATACTGGCTCAAATATACATA